CCTTAATGAAATTACAAACAGAGCTCTCCACTACATCCCATTGGCTTTGAAAAAATATGCTATGAAGACCATCAACACCAGGCGCTTTAAAAGGCCCCATTGAGAACACTACTCCTTTAATCTCTTGACTACTAGGGCAGCTCTCAAGAGCCATCATAACTCTCCTTTCCATTTCTGGGAATTTGTTCCTAATGGGAAAATTAGGCCGGAGAGGAATATCTTCCTTATATAAATTATCATAGTATTCCACTGCCATACTCATGAGAAGAGATGGGTCAGCAATCCAATCCCCGACATCATTTTGAAGGGCATCAATCCTATTCCTCCTACGCCTGGCAACTGTTGCTGAATGGAAGAATTTAGTATTACGGTCACCAAACCGAATCCAGTCAGTTCTAGATCTTTGGTACCATGTAATCTCTTCTCTAAGATAAATAGTATTTAACTGTTGCCAGATCTCTTTCTGCAGCCTCTCCAGAGAATGACAAGGATGTTGACTTAAGCTATAATCAATTCCACGGAGGCGAGAATGAAGATTATTTTTTAACTTCTCCTCCTCCTTGTAACAATCCTTATGCCAGGATGTGGCTTTCTCTCGAAAGTTTTCACTAGATGCTTTCCAATTGTGACCACCTGCCCAGCACCTATTCACTAGATCAGAGAAAGAATTATGAGTCAACCAAGCCGCTAGAAAACGAAAAGGACGAGCCCCTCCATTACTAAAATTTGGTTGTCCATCCCAAAGAAGGATTGGACGATGATCAGAGTTATAAAAAGGAAGGTGAGAGATAACTCTGTTCGGAAATGACATGTTCCAGCTTTGATTTACACAAGCACGATCAAGTCTCTCCAAAACATTGCCTCTTCTCCAAGTAAAACTCGGACCTTGGTGCCCCAGATCACTAAGATGACAAGACATAAGACAATCTTGAAAATCCTGCATGCTCCTCCAATTGTGAACTGAACTCCCCCTCTTCTCCTCCGAGTGAATGCAAGTATTAAAATCACCCATAATGCACCATTCATTATTATTTTGCGGCTGAATATTCTCCAAAGCATCCCATAGAGCATGACGCTCCTGACGCCGAGGACTAGCATAAACAAAGGTGAAAAATTCCTGCTTATGATAATTAAGCCAGCTTATCTTTGAATGAATAAATTGATGATCAGTATGCAGAACTTGGATATTCACTTCTGATGAATTCCAAAGAATCCATATGCCTCCTGAAAAACCAATCGGGTCAGAAATAAAAAAATTTGAGAACCCTAGGCTTTTAGCCACCTGCTTTGCACGCAGTCCACCAATACGGGTTTCCAAAAGCACTAAGATACAAATACGATATCTTCTTGTGAGGTCTTTTATTAGGGGGGAAAAGCCCTTTTTTCCAGCCCCTCTACAATTCCATGAAACAATATTCATAAAAAACAAATACAGAGAAGAAGAAAGAATGGTATGAACACCAATCATTGAGGAACAGTTTGCACACTTAAATCTCCCGAAATGGAAGCACCATCCGAATCCACCAAATTGTTGTGAGCCTGATTGCCTAACACCGATTTAACCAAAGCATCAGGGGGTTCATTAGTCTCCTTAAACTCTTCGTCCGGTATTAAGATTTTTCCATTTTGCTGGCCCCTCTCAAGAAGCTGACCATTCTCCTGTTTCCCGGAAATGGAACTAAGAGCCAGATTCGAGCTTGGAGAAGGATTAACATTACGAGCTATATCATTGAGAAACATGTTTGTATCACCTTTAGTCAAACTCAAAAAAATTCTCTCCTTAGATTCCCTTGATAAAGATTGAGGTTTAGAGGGAAGCTTGAAAGACTTAGAAGATACTGCAAGACCCGTTTGTTTTTTCTTTAGAACAAAAGATTCCTTCACCGCCCCAGTCTTCTTCGGTATCTGTTGTTTATTTTTTCTAGAAACTTTAACGCTCCCATTCTGCAGGAGTTGATCTTCTTGGTTCTTTTTTTCCTGGGCCCCAATCGAAGGCTTAGTCAGACTATTAATTAGATCACCCATATGCTTAGCTGGCTGAGGAATATTTTGCGCTGACGTATCCATGATGGTTAACTGATTCAAATCAGGAATGTTGCTTGATTTCTGCAAATTAATTGCATTAAAATCCTGATGATTAGACATCCTTGCAACGTTATCATCTTTTTTGAAACTTTGTTAACGTCAGCAATGATTGCGAAACGTGAGCCAATTGGCTGGCCATAATTAGGGACTCCTTGATTGCAGCATCCATAGCTGAATTCACGACCTTCTTTCTTCCTCGCTGGTTACGCTGGACAAGCATCCAAGAACCAAAAGCCTCCCCTTCCATCGCCACCTTATGTTGAACTGTGGTGTTTGCCATTGTTGTATGAATCTGAGTACTTTGATTAATAGTACTAGTCGAAGCAGGAGCAAGGGTAGGACATGAATCACGGCGGTGACCATACCTACCACAAGCAAAGCAAACAAGGTGCAAACCTTCATAGCCCACTGGAAAAACACGGTTGCCTATTTTGAATTTAGACAGGAATCCTTTTCGAAGATCAACTTCCACACAAATACGGGCAAATTTTGCTCGATCTGTGAACTCCTTATCTCCTATGATATCTTTCCGAATTGAATTCCTATCAATCTTGAGTGTTCTCCCGAAAAGATTACCTATGTTACATAGGTGCTTAGACGTATAGAATTCAATTGGGAGACCTGGAATACGTAGCCATACAGCCAGCTTCTTGAAATCATCATCATGAGGGTTAAAGAAGGGACGCCAACGTTGAACCATTACATAATGATCAGCTACAATCCAAGGACCCTCTTGCAAAACAAAATTGTAGTCCTCAATCTTGTCAAACCGAAATAAAAAATAATCATTCTCCATATCAATGAACTCATAAGAGCCGCTTAAATTCCACATCTTCAACAACCTATTTTGAAAAAACTTCACCCCCACACGCTTTCCTAAAAGTTTCACAATAACTGCCATCCTCCAAGGTTTGCAGCTTTCTTTGTGAATCTCCTTTTCAAAACGATATGAGGGGCAGAAGGGATCATCAACAGATTGGTTGCACTCTTCCATGAACTGGGATTCTTCATCCTCCTCAAATCCTAGGTTCTCAAGAACCTGTCTCCTTCTCTTCACTTGACCCTCCATTTAAATGTAACAGAGAATCTTTATAAGAAACAACACTCCTTCCTTCTTGTTCTTTAGATCTACGAATACTCCTCTCAAGAAGATCAGCCTCTTTTGTGGAGAATTCTTTGCTTTCTCCGTCCTTCATTCTTTCTCTCATATCTGTGTTATTTTTCCCTCTCTCTCTCTCTCTCTCTCTTTCTTCTTCCTTTCTCTCCGCTCTCTTCTCCTTTCTCTCTTTGGCAGCTCACACGAACCGGTGCACTACATATCTGCTCCCATCTAGTGGAGGTGGCAGAGTAATACTTGTATTAAAGTAAAAGAAAATATTAATCTCATTTTATATTAAATAGTTATCTCATTTTATCTCACTTTAAAAATTGCACTCACTTTTTTTTTTTCTTTTTTGCTTTTTAATGGTGGATCTCACTTAGACTCTCTCTATAGCATGAGAGAGCTACTTCCATGTAACATGAGATTAACATTCCCCTAAAGTAAATCAATCAACAAATTACAAATTATCACTTCTATCTATATTTATATATTAAATTAAAGTGTACTCGCTAGTTAAATCTTCTGGTATTTTCCCGTTTAAAAAATTGTACATGTCATCCTTAATTTTATTTATTTTTTAAATTAAAATTCTTTGAAATAATTATATTCATCATCTTTATAATTTAAGTTATTTTTCAACATAAATTTTGTCTTTTAATTTATATTTTTTTTATATTTTACCATAATAAAAAAATTTGCACAAAAGAGATACTAATATTAAATAATCACATAAATTTTTATAAGTCGTGATAATGTGTTGATTATTAATTGATTTAATCTACTCAACCTGTACGCAAGTGACAAGTGGTCTAGGTAAGTCGTTTTCTTATGGGAGAATCTTAGGCTTTGTCCGAAAACCGACATCTGCCTTTCATTTTCTCGAGTAACTTTTTGCTTGCTAGTTGCTACTTTTAAGCGTGGACCTTAATTAGTTTTAAAATAGATGGCTTGTCCATATTTATTTATGAGAAAAGTTGACATAAGTTATTATATATATAAAGATATTATTTTTTTCAATAAAACCCACAATTTTTTAATTTATAAAATGACACAACCAGTATTATTTTAAATGTCAAATATTTTTTTCATTTATTTATTTAAAATAGATGACTTGTACTTATTTATTTACATATATGCAAGCTGGATCTAATTTGTATGGGAATTTTAATTGATGTTGAATTATGTGTAGGCATCGACTCTATAGCTATGGACATGAAGGAGAAGAAACTGACAGTGGTGGGTGACATAGACCCGGTCGACGTGGTAAGCAAATTGAGAAAAGGTTGGCACACAGAAATTCTGTCGGTTGGGCCGGCAAAAGAGCCAGAGAAGAAGCAAGATGATGGCAAGAAAGGCGAGGGCAAAAAAGATGATGATCAGAAGAAAGATCCAAATGAACAAATTGCAGAGCTTGTCAAGCTCTACAAAGCATACAATCCTCACATGACTACGCACTATTATGTTCATAGTGTAGAGGAGAATCCAAATGCTTGTGTTGTTTGTTAAATTAATTTCTATGTTTGACAAGACAGTCTGTGTTTGATGGCGATGGTGAGACCGAGCCTTAAAATTATGGTCCAGAGAATTAGTGGTGTACACAAAAAATAAAAAAATAGTTTGTGGAGGATTTGAATGAATAAATTGAGATTGAGATATGGACTTTTCAAGGACTTTCTTATTGTGCCATGGGTTGCCTGCTTCCCATTTGAATTATTGTCTTACACTTTTCAGCTACGTAAATATGTTATCACCTGATAAATCACTACATACAAAAATTACAATGAAAAATACTATCCTCTTCTTAGAATTTGTCCCCCATCGTTGTGTGGATACTCAAGCTATTGGAGAGCCTCTCCCGGCGCATCAGGAGCTTGGATGATTAAGTTCCATAGAAGTAAGCCAACAATAATGCAGCTTTTAATTGAGTGTGACCTGGGGCATTTTTTATTTTTTTTTGGTACATAAGACCTTGGACATTTCAATGTATATTTAACCGTGGAATGCATAATTCAATTTTTTTCCCCGTGTGTCCTAACATTTGACACCGACAAACCACCGCCTCTTGGCATAATAAAACAAATTAGGACAACAAAAAGAGACGTTTATGGGGATTGATGGGTCCAATCATTTTTTTTTATTATTAGTGATGAGCTTTCAGCTGATCATTTTACCTATTACTAATTGTAGGTATATATAGATTAAGATAATCACAAAAAATACGTCCCTTTCAATACCTGCGTACTCAAAAGATCCTTCTCCTCTAGTAAACTAAAGTCGGCCCTTTTATTATTGAGAAGATAATGGCCATCTATGGTGTAATCCTTCTAAAGTATGCAAAGCTTATTAAATTATCTAAGAAGCAGTATAGTATGCGTCGTGATATGATCTGTTAAGTTCATAGTAAGAACAGGCAATGTTCTAAATGCAAATTAGCTTAGGTCACCCTCGTCTTTTGGTTCCCTTATATCATGTCATGCCTAATGCCATGGTTTGCTTTCAGTAATTTCCCAATCCGGCTAGGGATACAAAGTGATGTCGTTTGCAATGCTACAATTTTTTAAGCAACATTTAACTAATCTTGTTTAACTTTAAGCAAACTACTCTTGGTTCCAGCACCAAATCTTATCCCGTGTGTTTTTGTTAGATGGACGGCCGTCACGGGTTATCAAGTAAGATCGAGATGACTGAGTTTTTTTTTTTTTTCAAAAACAAAAGAGTTAACCGCCAGCTACCAAATTCATTGATATATCTTTATAGGACAACCCTTGATGAGGTAATTAAAGGGTGCTTTTTGCTTCTCCAAAAGCGAAGAAGAATAAACTATCGAAAAAATGTTTATATTTTTAAATAATATAATTTTTGTTATTTCATTCTTATAAATAGGTGGATCCACATTTTTATCTAATCTCTCTTCTTTTATTTATTTTTTTAACTTAAAATAACATAATTTTATATTTTTAAAATGACACGCATTTTGTCGGTAAACTATTATCAAACAATATCTACAAACAGATAGTACATTTTCTCATACCTCCTACGCCAATAAATGAATAAGAAACATCGACTTAAACAGTAGTAACTGACAGACGTTTGACTCTTTCTCCGTATACAAGTTGCGTTTGCTTTTATTGCTTTTTCAAAGTAAACAATGTGTTTTTTTTTTATTTCTTAAAATATTAATCTTCCCCCATTATTAGGAAGTCATTTTTTTTTTTTTTAAATTTCCATGCCGATTTCTGTTTATTTATTTGAAACGTTGGAAAATCAGTTTTTCATAAACTAACTTCCTGACATCAATTTTTAAATAAAAAATATAAAAGTAAAATAAGTAATTTTTTATTTTTTAAATATCAAAAGGTCCAATTTAATCTCTTAAAAATTTTTTGACTCGTGATTCTGTTGAAGGATTAACGTGAGTTTTCTTTGAATTTCAGAGGGATCAAACTTCGACTAACGGGATATATTTTGAATTTCATAAAGACTACAAGTTGACTTTTTTTCTTCAAAGGGATTAAAATAGGCCTCATAATTTTTGTCAAGTACTCAAAAAGTACTTTACTCTAAAAAAAAGTACCGTGCTTTTCTTAAAAAAAATTACAGCAATTACCAAAAAAAATTACAATACAACCTTATAACTTTATATTAAATACTTTACGGGGCGTTTGGTAGAAAGGACACAAAATTATCCGAGTATCACGATTTCCAGGAATATGGTGAAAAAATGAATTTTCCAAAAATGTTACCAAAAAGTTGTTTGGTAGGTCAAATTATCCACATGGATGTTAGGTTAATTTTCTTGATATTTTTTTGGTTGATTGTAAAATATTACTATGAATGTAGGTTAATTATGTATCAAAAAAATTATCAAATATTCCCACCACATGGAATTTTCAAAATACCATCCATTTGGTGGTATTTTAAGATAAAAATTTTCTTCATAAACATGAATCCCGGGAATTCGACTATTCCGAAAAAAAAATTTACAATCCTCGTACCAAACATGAATAAATTGAATTTCCAATCCCACTTTTCCATTATTTTAAAATATTTTAAATAATTGAAACGTTTTATGAAAAATATTACATTTGTTTGTGTGGTGAGTTTTTTTCTAGATGCTATCATAATTTTATTTACTCTCTTAAATTTGCATGAGATGAATTAAATTGTAAATATATTTTTATGTCCACTATTAACCATTTATTATTTTCAATATAAATATATATATTCAAATTTAAAATTTGACACCTCATCTGAGAGCCATTAAATCAAAAAAGATCAAAGGCTCTGATTTATAAGCATATGATACCATTGGATCGTACCTCATATATATATGGGAAAAATATTTTTCCAGTCACCGGAGATAAAGTTATCTCTAGTGAGCTCAAAACGACGTCGTTTTGGGATTATAAGATTAAAAAATTATAATGATAAAGATTAATATAATCCTGCAATATATTATAATTACAAAAATACCTTGATTTCTATCCCAAAACGACGTTGTTTTGGGCTCACTGGAGATAACTTATCTCCATTGACTGGACATATCTTTTACCCTATATATATATATATTAAAAAAAAGGAAAATATTTTTCCAGTCACCGGAGATAAAATTATCTCCAGTGAGCTCAAAACGATGTCGTTTTAGGGTTATAAGATTAAAAAATTATAATGATAAAGACTAATATAACCCTGCAATATATTATAATTACAAAAATACCTTGATTTCCGCCCCAAAACGACGTCGTCTTGAGTTAACTGGAGATAATTTTATCTCCGGTGACTGGAGAAATCTTTTACCCTAAAAAAAAGTTAGGAAATCGGTTTCTCCTATCATTTCATAAAAATAAATAAATAAACCATTAAAAAATCCAATTGGAAGGAAACTTATTTTTCAAGATAATATTTTAAAAATCTATTGGGCCCAATAGAAAAATAAAGAGCCTACTCAAAAAAAAAAAGTGATTCGTATTTTGAAAATTAAAAAAAAATTATATTCGTAAAAAAGCCTGACTTTTATTTATAGTCTGATATACGAAGTGTACTTGGGGAAATATTTATTATGCTCTCATACTTTCTGTATTGGGCCAATAAAAACATAATACTAACATGTTTTTTAAAAAGAAAAAGAAAATTATTTGCCTATGTATTTTCAGATATATATAATGGGAAATACTACTCTCATTTTACATGAGGTAGTTATCTCATTTTCTCTCACATCGAAAATCGCACCCCTTCTTTTTTTTTTTTCTTTTTTACTTTTTAATGGTAGACCCCACTTAAACTCTCTCTATAGCATGAGATAATACTCTCATGTAACATAAGATTAATATTCCCCATATATAATCTGTAATTTTATTTTAAATTGGAGTATTCACTTAGATAAGATTACTAAAAATGTTGTCTTACCTGGGTGCGGTAATCTAAAGGGATATATTGAATTAGGATTTTAAAAGATTTTTTTTAGATAAATTTTTTTATAGATTTAAAAAGACTATTTAGAATTGGAGGGACTTTAAAAACTTTTTCAAAAGACTTTTTTTACAACCAAAATTTCATGAGATTTGATTTTAAAGGATGTTAATAGAATTTATAAGATTTGAAAAGATGGATTTATAAGATTTTAAAAAATCATATGAATTTTTAACAATTATTCAAAATTACAAGAGTCAATAAAAAAGTAACAAAAAATTGCAATGATATTAATATAAAAAAGTAAAATCTAATATAATTTTCCAAATCAGTAAAACATAAAATAATTTTTAACAAACATTCAAAATTACTAAGCAACAACTCTCCACGTATCTAAAGCTATACTAGTCCTCCATAGCCCTCCACGCATTAGTATTTTCTCGTTTCTGCTCTTGGGTTTTGACTAATTGGTTAAAAATTATCTTCTTCATTTGGTATCAGAGCTATGCATATATGATTATAAGACCTAATTTTTTTATTTATTAAAATAATTCTAAATTTGCATATAGAATCTAAAGTTTTCTAACTATATATCATATGCATGTTTTCATTGAATATTTTAAGAAAAATTTTGAATATGAATTTCTAGGTTTTATTACATGAAAGTGTAGAAATTTTTTCAAATTAATTTCAATCGATATATTGAAACCTTAAATTGCTTTGAGGCTTTTGAAAAATAAGTTTTCAGTTATCTATTGACACAAAAATTGTTTGAAATCGTTTCCTATAGCGAAAGAATTTCATTCATGAATGTATTGTTATGAAATAGGGATAGGTTATTCTACCTACTTTTTTTCTGCCTACCTTTGTCTACCACTCTCCAACACCACTAGATCAGAATCTTAAGAGGAAAGAGAAAGATAAATGTTAGTAGAGATTTTGATCCAATGGTGTTTTATAGTGGTATACAAAGATAGACAGAAAAAAGGTAGGTAGAATAACCTAATCCTATTAAACATAGGGTTCATATTATAAAAGTTTTAATCTTTCTTTAAATTGATATCGTTTCATTGACGTAAAATGAAAATTGGTTTGAGGGGTTTAGTTTCCCTATTGTTTTCTTACTATATTATGTTATTTTTTAATACAAAAATAATACCTTTTTGTACTAAGAAAAACCCA